TGAATTGAGAATCTGAAAAAAATATGCATCTTCTCTCTCAAAAAAAAAATGCATATAGTTTGGCTTATAATTTCATATGTTCCTAGACTGTCTGATACCTTAATTAAGCATCTTAGTAATTCAACTCCTTCTTTTTACGGTTAATGGAGTTGAGAGTAATTTTGGCTATGTGGCCCACCCACAGCTACAGAGTGAGGTAGGGTAGAGAGTTCACTCTAGTTACAAAGCGATTTTTGCTATCACTTGGTTATGAAATGTCTAAGCAAGAGTTCATCTAAACTTATGCAATTGATAGGAGAAGCCCCATTGGCCTAAATGTCCCAAGCTAGCCTCTGACAGTGCCTCAGATTCTCACATGTGGGGTCTTCAGGTAGTATATTTGCATTACCTTGGACATTAGGCACTGTCCTCTGTTGAAATGCTGGCCGAAGGCAAATCTGATACGGGTCACTAGCCCAGACTCTCTTTCTCTCATGCTGAATTCATGCTTTGAGACTCTTGGCTTCCTTACCTGCTGTTGACCTTGCACCTTTACATATTTGCCCACTTGTCTGTAGAACAAGGAGGAGGGGCTAGAGAATGTGGTGTCAGAGGAGGGGGGTGAGGCAGAAAACTCTCTTTACCAGGATTAAAGCTAAGCAAAGGCAGCATTTTCAGAGCTTCATGTGCTTCAGATATTTTTCTGTAGCTGGAAGTGAGAGTTCTGGACATGTATTGTATTATAATACTAGGCAACCCTATTCCTGATACTGCTGAAAAGTATTTAAAAATGCCCAGTTCTAAGAGTCTCATGCAATTAACTTGGAGAAACTGCACATGTTGGATCATGGTTGTGTTAAGGCCAAGAAGGAAGCTTGGATTGACATTCCAGATCAGAGAGGGATTTCTTTATGAACATCTTTGCTCTCAAACAAATCATAAATTGAAATGTGGAAATATAACATAAATCCAACAAGTGCTTTTTCTGATCGCTTGAACAAAATATATGTACTTTTTTGCATGACTTTTTTATTTTTATTTTTTATTTTATTTTTTTCAAAGATTTTATTTATTTATTTGAGAGACAGCATGGGGTGGGGGGTAGGGAGGAGCAGAGTCTGAACCGGGAGTCTGCTGGGCTGATCCCAGGACCCTGAGATCATGACCTGATCCAAAGTCAGATGCCTAATGGACTGAGCCACCCAGGCGCCTCTGCATGACTTTCTTTTAAAATATAACTTAAGGGCGCCTGGGTGGCTCAGTTGGTTAAGCGACTGCCTTCGGCTCAGGTCACGATCCTGGAGTCCCGGGATCGAGTCCCGCATCGGGGTCCCTGCTCAGCAGGGAGTCTGCTTCTCCCTCTGACCCTCCTCCCTCTCATGCTCTCTGTCTCTCATTCGCTCTCTCAAATAAATAAATAAAATCTTTTATATATATATATATATATATATATATATATATATATATAACTTACTCGTTATATGTATTGGAAATATTTCCTGTATTTCACTTTCTTTAGCTTATGATGGCACTTTTTTCCTCTAATGTGTCATGAAATGGCACCCATATCTGCAGATTTATTTGAGCTGAACTACTTTACAGTGGGGACAGCCCTCATTGTATTTATCTGAGAGGATGAATGGAGGGGACACACGGAGCGTTTGGGGAGTTACAGCTAAAGTTTTGGAAGTCTTCAGCACCTCTGGTTTCTCATGGATATTTCCATTCTAATTGCTGGTACATTTTCTCGATCAACCCACCAATTTTATTTTATTATTTTTTTTATTTTTTTAAAGATTTTATTTATTTATTTGACAGAGAGAGACACAGCGAGAGAGGGAACACAAGCAGGGGGAGTGGGAGAGGGAGAGAAGCAGGCTTCCCACTGAGCAGGGAGCCCGATGCGGGGCTCAACCCCAGGACCCTGGGACCATGACCCGAGCCGAAGGCAGACGCTTAATGACTGAGCCACCCAGGCGCCCCCCAATTTTAGTTTCAAAAGCAGTCTTAACCCAGAATCCGGTTGTACTGATCCATACGTTGTCTTTGTAAATGCTGTTCAGACTGACTGAACAGTCTGAGATGGCTGGCTACAGTCAGAAGGCCTTCTGGTTCACAACTGTATTCTTACTCTGCTTTTCTCCAGCAGCCCTGGCCCAAAGCCTATCTCCTTCTTGCTCTCATTGCACTTCCTTGAAAGGCTGCAAGAACTGAACACACTTTAACATATACTCCTTTGTTTCCAGGACTATTCACTTCTCACCCCTTCTGCTTTGACGTGACTATTTCCTTCAGTGGTCTGTAACTTGCCAACTCACTTCCAGATACAAATTTCTAGGCTAAGATTCTGTTGGTTTCAAAGAGAAACCAATTGAAGGTGCTCTAGCAAAAGCAGGGGATTTATTATAAGCCTTTAGGGCAGGGAATGTAGCTAAGACTCATGAATACCAGGCAAGAAACCAAAATGTTGGAAATTCAAGAAATTTTATGTTCTCTCTTATATCTGCTATCGTTTCACATCAGCCTTTTTCTTTCTTGGTGGACTGGCTTTCTTCTCCTCCCAAGTCCCTCCGATAGTCTAGGGATAGCTGCTCATGGTTTCCAGTTTAACATCTGGGCCCATAAAAAGACTGACTTTCTTACTCTCAGTCCTGAAGGGGAGCAGAATATGCCACTTCAGCACAAGAATTATTTTGAGCTGAAGGCAACTGAGAAGCAGATACAAGAAAAGCTTGTATCTTCCCCCATTTGCCTAAAAAGCAAGACATATATTTACAAAGGTATCCCTCTCTACCAGGCAGGATAAAGGTTAATCCCTGAGGACAACTTTAGACCCTCATCAATAGAGAAAGCGCTGATTTAAATGTGCATTATCAATCCCGCTGCCCCTCACTGGCCTTCCCCCACCTCTTTCTTTGTCTTCAGCTGAAGATGCTATATAAGCCATAGTTCTAAGCCACCCTTTTGAGTTACTCGTTTTCCCCTGGGTATCTCCCATTTATATATATACATTAATAAACTTCTGTTAGTTTTTCTCCTGTCAGTCTGTCTTTTATTAGAGACCTCAGCCAAAAACTCAAAATATTATAGGGAAAATTATTTTTCCTCCCTTACAAACTTAAACTCCTATGATAAAGCTCCTCTAATTTTTCTAGTTAATCTTGAAGCATATTTTTATTTAATTTGTACATCACGTTAAACTTGTTTTTAAAAGGCTTATTTTAGAAAGCCAATGTAAAAAAAAGAATAATAAATTTAATATTCTGTACTAGAACAAAACCCAAACTTCTGACACATGAACTTCATACTCTTAGTTTTGAAAATGTAAATTAAATGTCAATATAATTGTACTCAAGAACCACAAAGACCATGGAACAGTATTATCTTACAGAGGAAGGGAAAAGCTTCCTCAAATTGTTCTTTAACATCTGAAGAGCCACTGCAGTTTGGGAACAAAGGAACAAAACTTAGGAGTCCTCTAGACTTCCCTCAAATATGCTCTGAGAGTTTTGAAAAGGACACTAGCTTTTTAACTTCTCAGAGGACCACACTTTTGAAGACTGTCTTAATCAACAGTAGACAATACTTTATTTGTCCACCTTGATGAAGACAAGAGAGACAGAAGTCTTCTTAGGTTATCTTGTATTCAGGCACCCTGCACAGAGCCTTATGGAAATATTTGTTGGGTGAATAACGAAGCCACGACCAACTGCTTATATTTCAACACACCATAGTTCCTTATATTTACATAGCATTATTCCAAGACATTTCACCATTTCATAGGATGAGGTAGGGTAGGTAGGGAATCGGGTTTTATTGTTCTGTATTTTGGAAGAGGAAACAGAAACTCCTTTTTGCTACAGGAGTAATAAAATTTCAGGAAGAACATAAATGATAACTTTGGCTTCCCTGTTTTTTAATAAACACATGGCTTTATTATAATAATAATCAGAACTATAGTTCTTTGGGAAGACTTCCCATTTTTGATGGTATGCTGTACTTTATGATACGTATTCTACTGTGTCATTGTAGATGTCACCGTGGACTGTATTTATTTTAGAAATAGAATGTTTCACAAGGAGGATGCAATATTTCCATGTCATTTATTGAAAAGCTAGCAGTTAACTAAATTTGCTTTTATTTATTTTAATTATTTATTTATTTATTTATTTGAGAAAGAGAGAGACAGAGATAGCAACAGAGATAGCAAGAAGAGAGCATGATTGGGGAGAGAGGGAGAAGCAGGCTCTTGCCAAGCAGGGGCTCAATCCCAGGACCCTGGGATCATGACCTGAGCTGAAGGCAGATGCTTAACCGACTGAGCCACCCAGATGCCCCAATTAAATTTGCTTTTAAAAATGAAAAATATTCGAAAATAATGGATCGTGGATCACCACATCAAAAATCGATGATGTATTGTATGGTGACTAACATAACATAATAAAATTTAAAAAAAAATGAAAAATGTTTTTCAAAACTATGCAGACAGAGGCAAAGTCTCAAACCATTTGTCTCACTGTTGCCAAATCCCGTGAGGAAACTTCTTGCATTTCAGCCTAGTAACTGAAACTCCACTGCCAAGGCTGCACGCACCACCCTTGGAGGGAGGGCCCAGAAGCTGAAACCATCTGTCACTCAGCACGCCAGGGAGCTGCTAGGTCTGCGGGAGTGCTGCCTTGTTCTACCATTCACAAAGGCACCCAGAGGCACCTTTCACAAAGATGCACCATATAGCAGCTCCCCGTTCATGGCTAAACTTCAGCATTAGGCACAAAAGGGGTGGGGGACATCCTCTCTGCTCCACATGCTCCCTATTCCCTCCTCCTGGACATGCTTCATCTCAAAGGGCCAAGTGTGCTATAGTTAAGCACCATTTGTCATGACTATTTCACAGATGTTTTCCATTTATCTTTTTCTGGAATGATTTTCCTTCTTTTTCTCTGAAAGAGGATGTTTGCAACAGGATTGGCATTGAGAATGATGGGGGGTGGGGTGAGGGGTTCAGGGGCACTGCTACTTACAGACCCCCAGGGCAAGTTCTAGAATTCTAGGTGACATTGTGGCCAATCCTTTGGCCTTCAGTGAAATTGTCTGGATCCTGCAGAATCTCTTCAGCTGAAAGTACTTCCAACGGATGCTAAAAATACATTGCAGTTTATTTTCCTCAGTAGGGAGCATATGTGTTCCCGCTTGACCTGGAAACACAAAGAGAGCCAATGTTAAATTGAATGCTGCCCATTCCAAGATAAATTTGTTTTCTGTAGTGCAGGGGAAAGAAAAAACAACAGACATATTGGTACAATTTTGCCTTTGCTCTCTGGGGGAGTCAGGGTCTTGAACACATTTTTTATGCTCTGTTGGTAGTTAAGTGACCACTCAGCCTTCTTAGCCAATGCTGATATAAACTGGCTTGCATTCAGATCAGATGGTGAATCTAAAGTGGATAAGGAAAACTTCAATTTTGGGTTTTTTTTTTCCCCTAAACAAAAGACAAAGGATGTCAGATTCTTTGTACCTAATCTTAGCTTGACAATTTCATTTTTTTACTTTTTTTTTTTTTTGCTTAATGTTCTTCCCAAAAGACAGACTCTGAAATGCCTTCTATTTGAAGTATAGGTTTTTATGGACACTTGTATTAAATCCTTTCTCTCCAAATAGACAAACAAATCAAACACAACTTATCTACAAATGGCAGAGAAATTCTGTTTCCTGCTGTAACATTTAACAACAGATGTTAAACCCATTTCTTGTAGTTTGGAGATACTGTTTGTTTCAAGCATTCGGTATTCCAATATGACATTCTTCAATATTGTAAGAGCAAAGTTCAATTTCTCCAGCTGGTACCACTTCTCTATAGCTTAAAATACACAGTCTGCTGACAGTGAACAAGACCCATTCCCCTCCCAAGAAATAGCACAGTGATTAAAACATGAGTTTTGGACTCTGCCTTCCTTGGAGTCTGGATTGCACCACTCAATAGTTCTGTCTTCATTTTTCTCCATCTGTAAAACGAGGAGAAAAATGGAACCCACCGTTCAAGGCTATTGTGAAGATCAAATGAGAGCCTGCATGAAAAGCTTATGGCACAGTGCCTGAGCACATAGACAACCTTTAATACACATTAGCTACTGATACGGGTGATTATTCTTTGATATCTTGGTTAGTCATGCCCCGTAGCAAAGAGATGGCATGACTTCCAAGATCCTTTGTGGCTAAACTCTCCTATGTCAATTCTCAAGGTTTCTTTCTTTCTTTCTTTCTTTCTTTCTTTCTTTCTTTCTTTCTTTCTTTCTTTCTTTCTTTCTTTTTTTATTTATTCATTTGAGACACAGAGATACAGAGAGAGAGAGAACATGAGCAGGGGGAGAAGTAGAAGGAGGGGGAGAAGCAGGCTCCCCGCTGAGCAGGGAGCCCGATGTGGGGCTTGATCCCAGGATCCTGGGATCATGACCTGAGCCGAAGGCAGACGCTTAACCATCTGAGCCACCCAGGCGCCCCTCAAGGTTTATTTCTAATCCTCTTCTTCAGGACAAGCCTAAAACCTACTTTGCCTCTTTCTGTTCTTCTCTTGATTTCCTCCACTTCTATCTCCAACAAAATCAAGCGAAGAATATGGCTTGATTAAAATCGTGGAGGTGAGATTTTTCTCTTACTTACCTTTATCCAGGCACAAAGGAGCATTTTTGCTGTTATTGGTTTTTTAAAGCCAAACATTAGCTGGATCTAAAATTATAAGAAAGGAGAATGTGGGAAGCCCTTCCCTCTTTTCATGATAAAGGCAGCATATACAGGCCTCTCCAGACTTCAGGGAGAGAACTAAGTAAATGCTGTAACCCACTTCTCTAGGTCTCATTTGCGCTGAAGGCTTAAGGGATAGCCAAATTAACTTTCAAGACTAGACAGGTAGTTTCCAAAGTTAGTTAGAACCTCAAGCTCATGACTGTCCTCGCTGATAAGTCAATAAGCATTTATTTACTAAGTAAATCAGAACTATTTTGAAAATCTAAAGTGGCTGAAGCAAGGAAAATGCTGCATTTCTGGGAAGCTGTACTTTTTGAACTCCTGAAAGGTAAAAAGAAAGCAAGAAAAAGGGCTCTTTTGAAAGACCAAGTAAGTTAACTAATTGTGCTGGCTTCTTAGGATTGCCTTGGATTTAGGTGTAGAATGTCTCCTACCCTGGGAAACCCCCTCAGGCTTGGGCACACTGGGACATTTGGTTATCCTAAAATACTTGATTAAGCTGTGGTCGATAAAACTAAAATTCAGTGGAAAAGGGTACTTAGATGATTTTCCAAATTAAGCATTTTTAATATAAATAGAATCATATAAATACAAACAGGAAGAGCATAATGACTAAATATTTTCATAAAAAGCTATCCGTATCTCAGCAAGTCCTAGCAGGTTTGTCCAAGTACTTGTCATAGTGGGTCATTTCATAGCACTTACTCTAATTGCAAACTTGATTCCTACTAGGAAATAATTAGCCTTTATAAGGCTCTTTTTGAAAACCCCAAACTTAACGTGACACCAAATATCCTATGGGCCAAGAAGGGAGAAAGTTTCCTAAGGGAGTTGCTTACCGTTTTTCACAATGGGAGGTCAAGGAAGGAGAAAGGGTAAGTTCCCCTTTAGGGAGCAATGCTGTTGGCACGGTGGGGATGCAAGCCAGATTATGGGGCCCAAGGAGGGAACCAGTGGAGAGGAGCCTGACCACTGGCCCCAGACCACTTATGTAAGATATTTGACAGGGCAAAGAAGCAGTGAGACAATAGCTAGGGGGTTAGCAAGGTCAAGAGAAAAATCCGTCAAGCTGGAGGAGGGGCGCCTGGGTGGCTCAGTCGTTAAGCGTCCGCCTTTGGCTCAGGTCATGGTCCCAGGGTCCTGGGATTGAGCCCCCCCCCCCCCGCCCCGCCCCGCATGGGGCTCCCTGCTCCGCGGGAAGCCTGCTTCTCCCTCTCCCACTCCCCTTGCTTGTGTTCCCTCTCTCACTGTGTCTCTGTCAAATAAATAAATAAAATCTTAAAAAAAAAAAAAAAAGATGGAGGAAAATTGAGTTTGTTGAAGACACAGTGAAAGAAACCAGAGCTTACTTGGAGCTTAGCTAGTTGATAGGCTTAGCAGGGGGGAAGAGAGGGGTACCACTGCCCCCAGGGCCATTTAGACTGTTACTGACAGACATTTAAGTAGAAGACTCTTGCCTGAGTGCTCAGGATCCTCTCCTCTAGCAAGCCACCTCTTTAACGCCTTGCTTAAGACCCAGCCTCCTCAAGTGTGCTCTCCCATTCCCCAAAATGACTGAAAAGACTGGTGCCCAAGCAGAGTCTGCACTCTGGGAGGAAGCCCATCTGCATGGAATGTTATTATAATCATGGCAGCCCCCCAAATGAAAACAACCTCAGAGTAAGAAAAATAGGGTCAATGAAAAGATTTGCAAAGTTTATAGATTAGGTCCATGACATTAAACATCGAAGGCAAGAAAATTTTGAATAATCAGAATCCCTCTACTCCAGACTGAGATGATTTGCCCTTTGCTTTTAGGAAAACCCTGACGTGAGGGGCCATCCCTAACTTCTGCAGGGCCTGGTGTGAATGGGGGTGGGAGGCTGGGGGAATCCTTGAGCAATTTGATCTCCCAAGAAGTTCCTTCAGGACCCAGCTCAGCTCTCCTCGTTCACTACCCACATTTCACCTGTGGTGTGGGAGCTTCTGGGACCAGCCTGGCCCCAGGAGCATCCTCCAGTTACAAGGTGTGGGACCAAGGCTGGATAACCATCCCTGGGGCAGATTTCCAGACGGAGATGTCCGGCAGCTCTCTTTGAAGAGACGAACTACTACTACTGAAATAACCGCACCAAATATGGGTCCCCGAATGACAACAAGCTCACGTGAAGGGAAAGCAACAGTGTGCTCGGTGGTGCAGTTAACCAATCACATTTAGTCTTGCGTCTCTGAAAACTGTTTGCTTCAGCATTAACCAGTTTAGAAGCAGTGATGGAGACGACATCCAGACACCTAATAGGTTTCCGGGTTCTGGTAAATTCTGAAGAAATTATGTATTTAGCGTAGATGTGATCTGAAGGAAACGTCCTCACGGAGGAAAAATAAACCTTAAAATTGAGCATCATTTTCTTGAACTAACAGCAAAAGAACTGTACAATGGGGATATGGGATTCGTTTCACGGCGTTGCTGTGAGGATAAATGGGCTACCCCACATCAAAAGCCCTGGCGCTGCGAGCCCCCCGGCCCCAACCCCCACAGCGAAGCCGGCCAGAAGCCTGCTCAAAGCCTTCCCAGCGGAGCTGAGGACGACCGTCGGTCTCGGTCGGTCTGGCACAAAATAGAGCCTCAGTAAAGATTTGCCAAATGAATGAATGGTTGCCTGCTCTAGTCCTTCTTTTGTTTGGTCACACTCTCGTTCTAAGCTCCTACAGCGAAACCCAGGCCCCCGAATTCTGCCCGTTCCATTACGGCGTGGACGCAGGGCCAGTGGAACGAGAAGGGCTGTAAAGAATGAGTAAGGGAAGCCAGCGGCTCGGACACAGGAGGCAAGAGAAAGAAACCCTCAGGGGCGGACGGCCAACAAAGAGCCAGAAGCAGGCGCACCCCGGCGGGACAACGCCGAAGCTCCGCGGCGTAGCCGGCGCCGGGCTCCCCGCGCGCGTCCCGCCAAGCGCACGGCACGGTCCGGGCCCGCACCCGCCCGGGGCGCCCTCAGCCCCGCGGCCGGCGCTCGCCAGCGGCTCCCGCCCCTGGGGCGGTGCCGGGAACACGCGGCGCCTCCGCCGGTCACGTGGGGGCCGCTTCGCCGGGCGGCGCTGCCGCTTCCCGATCGCGCCCTCCCAGTGCCGGGGACGCGGCGCTCGCGCTCCCGCCCGAGCCCGGGGAAGCGGAGACAAGGAGGCGCCGCCGCCGCCGCCCCCCACCCCCCCTCCCGGCTGCGCCCCCGGCCCTGCGCCCACAGCATGCCGGCCGCCGAGCCGCGCGCCGCCCTCGTCCAGGGGCTCACGGAGGCGACGACGGTGCCGGCCGCGCGGCCGCGGCGGCGGGGGTAGCGGGGCCGGAGGGGGCACCGAGGCGCCGCCGCGAGGCGGGCAGAGCGGGAGGAGGAGCAGCAGGCATCCTCCGCGGCGCGGCGGGCGGCGGCCCTGCCGCCCCGGCGCGCCCATGGCCGGGGAGCAAGGAGAATGCGAGCTGCACTGCCCGCCGGCCGCCGCCGCCGCCGCCTCCCCCCGCGCCGCGCGCCCGGCGCCCCCCGGAGCTGCTCGCGTCGCCGCCGCCCCCCAGCTGCGGGCGCCCGGCCGCTGGCTGCGCTAGGAGCCTCGGCCGCCGCTCGCCGAGGGCTGGTGGGAAGGCAGGAGCGAGAGGGCCCGGGAGGCTGGCGCCCGCGCGGGCGCAGCGCGGCATGTAGCTGCGGGCGCCCGCGTGTGGGTGTCGGCCCGGGGCCCCGCCATGGCTGGGAAGGACAGTGGGCACCTGAAGACGGTGAGGCTGTGGCGGGACGCCGCCCTGCGCGCCCGGAAGCTGCGGACCAACCTGCGCCAGCTCACGCTCAGCGCGGCCGGGGGCTGCCCGGGGGCGGGCGCCGCGCAGCGCGACTGCCCCGAAGCCCCCCAGCTCGTGCTGCCGGCCAACATCGGGGACATTGAGGTGCTGAACCTGGGGAACAACGGCCTGGAGGAGGTGCCCGACGGGCTGGGCTCGGCGCTGGGCAGCCTGCGCGTCCTGGTCCTGCGCAGGAACCGCTTCGCCCGGCTGCCCCCGGCCGTGGCCGAGTTGGGCCAGCACCTCACCGAGCTGGACGTGAGCCACAACCGGCTGACCGCCCTGGGCGCGGAGGTGGTGAGTGCCCTGCGGGAGCTGCGCAAGCTCAACCTCAGCCACAACCAGCTGCCCGCCCTGCCCGCCCAGCTGGGTGCCCTGGCCCACCTGGAGGAGCTGGATGTCAGCTTTAACCGGCTGGCCCACCTGCCCGACTCCCTCTCCTGCCTCTTCCGCCTGCGCACGCTCGACGTGGACCACAACCGGCTCACGGCTTTTCCCCGGCAGCTGCTGCAGCTGGCGGCCCTGGAGGAGCTGGACGTGTCCGGCAACCGGCTGCGGGGCCTGCCTGAGGATATCAGTGCCCTGCGCGCCGTCAAGATCCTCTGGCTGAGTGGCGCCGAGCTTGGCACCCTGCCCAGTGGCTTCTGCGAGCTGGCCAGCCTCGAGAGCCTCATGCTAGACAACAACGGGCTGCAGGCGCTGCCCGCCCAGTTCAGCCGCCTGCAGCGACTGAAAATGCTCAACCTCTCCTCCAACCTGTTTGAGGAGTTCCCTGCCGCGCTGCTGCCCCTGGCTGGTCTGGAGGAGCTCTACCTTAGTCGCAACCAGCTCACCTCGGTGCCATCTCTGATCTCGGGCCTGGGCCGGCTGCTCACCCTCTGGCTGGATAACAACCGGATCCGCTACCTGCCCGACTCCATCGTGGAGCTGACCGGCCTGGAGGAGCTGGTGCTGCAAGGGAACCAGATCGCCGTGCTGCCCGACAACTTTGGCCAGCTCTCCAGGGTGGGCCTGTGGAAGATCAAGGACAACCCGCTGATCCAGCCCCCCTACGAGGTCTGCATGAAGGGGATCCCCTACATCGCTGCCTACCAGAAGGAGTTGGCCCATTCCCAGCCTGCCGTGCAGCCCCGCCTCAAGCTGCTCCTGATGGGCCACAAGGCTGCTGGGAAGACCTTGCTCCGTCACTGCCTCACTGAGGAGAGAGTGGAGGGACACCAAGGAGGAGGGGACAAGGAAAAGAGCTACCCCCCTTCCGCTCCTCCCGTGAGCAAAGGCATCGAGGTGACCAGCTGGACGGCTGATGCTTCCCGGGGACTGCGGTTCATCGTGTATGATTTAGCTGGTGATGAGAGTTACGAGGTGATCCAGCCCTTCTTCCTCTCCCCAGGAGCCCTCTACGTGCTGGTGGTGAACCTGGCCACCTATGAGCCAGCCCGCTTTCCCACCACCGTGGGCTCCTTCTTGCATCGGGTGGGGGCCCGCGTGCCCCATGCCGTGGTGTGCATCGTGGGCACGCACGCAGACCTGTGTGGGGAGCGGGAGCTGGAGGAGAAGTGCCTGGACATCCACCGCCAGATCGCCCTGCAGGAGAAGCATGACGCAGAGGGGCTGAGCCGGTTGGCCCGGGTGGTGGACGAGGCACTGGCCCGGGACTTTGAGCTGCGCTCCGCCAGCCCCCATGCAGCCTACTATGGGGTTTCAGACAAGAACCTTCGGCGGCGCAAGGCCCATTTTCAGTACCTGCTCAACCACCGGCTGCAGATCCTCTCCCCGGTGTTGCCTGTTAGCTGTAGGGACCCTCGCCAGTTACAGCGGCTTCGGGACAAACTGCTCTCGGTAGCGGAGCACAGGGAGATCTTCCCCAATTTACACAGAGTACTGCCTCGATCCTGGCAGGTGCTGGAGGAACTGCACTTCCAGCCGCCTCAGGCACAGCGACTGTGGCTCAGCTGGTGGGACTCGGCCCGCCTGGGCCTGCAGGCGGGTCTGACCGAGGACCGGCTGCAGAGTGCCCTTTCTTACCTGCACGAGAGCGGCAAGCTGCTCTACTTTGAGGACAGCCCCGCCCTCAAGGAGCACGTCTTCCACAACCTCACCCGCCTCATCGACATCCTCAATGTCTTTTTCCAGAGGGATCCTTCCTTGCTGCTGCACAAGCTGCTGCTAGGGACCAGCGGCGAGGGCGAGGGCGAGGGCGAAAGCGCCCCAGCGATGGCGACGCCCACCCCGGGCCAGGAACTGCTCCGGGCCACCCAGCTCCATCATTACGTGGAGGGCTTTCTGCTTCACGGGCTCTTGCCAGCCCACGTCATTCGGTTGCTGCTGAAGCCTCACGTCCAGGCCCCGCAGGACTTGCAGCTGTTGCTGGAGCTGCTGGAGAAGATGGGACTCTGTTACTGCCTCAATAAACCCAAGGGCAAGCCCTTGAATGGGTCCACGGCTTGGTACAAGTTCCCGTGCTACGTGCAGAACGAGGTGCCCCATGCAGAGGCCTGGATTAATGGGACCAACCTGGCCGGGCAGTCTTTCGTGGCTGAGCAGTTGCAGATCGAATATAGTTTCCCCTTTACCTTTCCACCCGGCCTGTTCGCACGCTACAGCGTCCAGATCAACAGCCATGTGGTGCACAGGTCGGATGGGAAACTTCAGATCTTTGCATATCGAGGGAAGGTTCCCGTGGTGGTCAGTTACAGACCTGCCAAGGGGGTCCTGCAGCCAGACACTCTGTCCATTGCCAGCCACGCATCCTTACCAAATATTTGGACGGCATGGCAAGCCATAACCCCCTTGGTAGAGGAACTGAATGTCCTACTTCAGGAATGGCCTGGACTGCACTACACCGTGCACATTCTCTGTTCTAAGTGCCTTAAGAGAGGGTCGCCCAATCCACACGCTTTCCCAGGTAAGTGGGGAGAGGGATGTGGTTCTTCTGTGGCAATGGTTTAAGATGCATTCTTTGAAGATACTTGTTTTTCATTTATTTGATTATGTGCTTAACCTCGCAGGTTCCCCAGGAAAGTTTTCCAGGGTAAATACAAGGCAGGTGGGGGGATAAGCAAAAGACAGTAAATACATGAGCAAAATGAAATGGTCCCCAGTATCGTACTCTCCTAATAAAAAGACCTAGACTTCAAACGTGGTTTCCAGTCCCACTTTTGGATTTTGGATCTCCTTTCCCTCTTCCAGCTGAGCCTACCTTTCATGGAAGGAATTTCAGCCGGTTGAACAGAAGATGGGTCGCATCTGACGCGAGCCTCACGCTGAGCACTGGGTTATTGCACATCTTAGACACATCTCTGGGGGGTGCTCTCAGCTTGGGATGTCATTGTCACCATCTTTTGTTTGAATTCAGTGTAATCATGATGTAAACATTATTGCTCAATTTTCTTAGGAAATTCTAGAGAAGAATGTTTTGCAACCAGGATGAATGATGGATTAGTAAAGACAAAAATTTCAGTCTGAAATGCATGACTGAGTGCTGGGATCAGGGTTACCCAGCACACTGGAAGGCAGGGAGGATGGATTACTGAAATCTCTCCGGGGAGTTTCCTGGGTATTTCCTGCCAATTTCGTGCTTTATAGAGGTCTAAAGGTTTGATTTTTGCTAAGTGTTAGAGAGTGGAGCTTTTTGGTAATATTTTTCAAGAGATGGAAGGGACAAGAAGCTGACGAGAGTTTTGTGTGTGTGTGTGTGTGTGTGTTTTCCTTTTTCTCTTTTGGGGAATGTTTTGCAACAGACTTTTTTCTGTTTCACTTTTTTAAACCATTATAGGTGAGTGGGTGAATTCCAGGACTAGTAGTCTGGGATTTTCTGAGCTAGGTTAATTGATATCCTAAGTCTTTAGTTGGGAATGTGTCCATTTCTCACACTGGAGCATTCTTTAAAGAACTCTGATTTTGGGGGTGCAGGCATGGTTAACAACATTCCAAGTGACCTGAGGACAAGCCCCAGTGATAGCATCATGGCCAGTTTTTCCCCTTGGTCCCCACCCCCAGGGTGCATTGAGCAGTGCTGAAATGAAAGACTGCAGGGCACTCTGATCTTTGTCCTAGTCTGAATGCAGCTCGTAATAGTATCAGGAAGCAACTGGACACCAGTATTTCCAAGGGTAACATCTCCCTGTTGCCCTAGATCTAGACTGAGTTTAATTCTCCAGCTTGAAAAAAGCCGCCATATTCAGTTACCAGCCAATTGAGCTGTCCGTTGTGAGTGATTATCCGGTGTCGTGTCATTGTCTGTGACTTGGTAGACTCTTTAGTTTGTTTTATATTTGCCTTTGTACCTTATTCACGAAAGCAAATACTTCTTTATTATGTTACTAGATTGAATAAAGTGGTTAAGAGTTACATAGTCACAGAGTCACTTAGTGAAGGAGCTACCTACAGCTGATTCATAATCTAAAGATGGAGCATTAATACATCTGTTATTATTGACAAAGGGAAAGACCCAGATTATTGCACAAGTAGAGATCTGTGTAGGGGAATTCCAAGAACTTTGAGGAGTAAACATAAGGCCAGAATTTTTTTTCCTAACCTCAGCTCTTTATTTTTTATTTTTAACAGTCATGAATTCCACCAACAAGCATGTGCCACGCTATATGAGAGCCCATTCTCTTGCTTTTGTTTTGTCTGTTTGTCTTTCAAAGGAGGCACACCTGGTTTGCAATCTAGGCTGTAAGGAAAAGATGATTTTCTGAGTGTAAAAAACAGATAAATGGTGAAAACGTCAAATTATCTTATATATCGAGTAGGAATAAGTCATTAGTTGTTCTTGTAACAGAGATTGTGCATTTTTGTCTTATTTATGGTCAGAGTACTAATTTATCTTTTTTGCTTCATTTAGGATTATATTTCTTTGACAAGTACCAAAGGGCACAGGGTAGTGGAAAAAAGATGATTGAGGTACACTCATGACATTAAGAAGACAGGGAAGTAACTGGATGGTGACAGATGTTAACTAAATTTAGCATCACAATCATTTTGCAGTGTCCACAGATATTGAATCCTTATGTTATTTATCTGAAACTGATATTATATGTTAAATACATCTCAGTAAAAAAAATAAGTAACAGAAGATGGGAAAAAACACATTTTCCTCTTTCAGATGTTTCTGTAACAACCATCATTTGATAGTATTTATCACAATTCTGAAAGATTTGGAAGAGCTAAAATAGTAAATAACTAGAAGGCAGTGTAGGAACAGAATTACAATGTTGAGTGTTCCGTTAGTTAGGGCATACATTTAAAAATATGTTTGAGTCCCTAGGTTATTATTTTTTTAGTATTTTATTTATTTATTTGACAGAGAGAGAGAGCGCACAAGCAAGGGGAACAGCAGAGGGAGAGGGAGAAGCAGGCTTCATGCTGAGCAGGGAGCCCGATGTGGGGCTCGATCCCAGGACCCTGGGATCATGACCTGAGCCAAAGGCAGGCACTTAACGGACTGAGCCACCCAGGCGTCCCTGAGTACCTAGGTTATTAAAATGTATTTTCAGCCAGCAGAAACCTTTGAGTCTATTGG